AAGCTGCCAAGCGTCGCGAGGATCGCCTGCTCTTCGATGCCTCTCTTCAAGTCGAAGAGGCAGACGGAGCGCTCACCCTTAGTTGCGTCGACGTAGTCGGTCACCTGGCAAATGCCACTGGAGGAGAGGTCGAGGGTGGTCAGCGTCTGGCTGAGCTTCAGAACGCCGGCGAGCAGGGTTGCAGCCGCCGGGCCAATCGGGTTGGACTTGACGACGAGGGACTGAGCACCCGCAGGCAAATCAAAGGCATCGCACTTGAGGGCTCCCAGCTTGCTCGCGCTGCTGCTGAGGAGCGACGCGCCAATGTTTCGCATGCCCGAATCGGTGATCGAGTTGGAGCTCACGTCGAGGTAGGACAAAGTAGAGTTCACGGCGAGAGCCCTGGCGAATGCGGCGGCGCCGTTGGGGCCAAGCTCATTGCCGCTGAGGTCGAGAGTGGCCAGCATCTTGTTGCACTTGAGCGCCTCGGCGAGAGCAGCGGCGCCCTCGTCGGCGAGCTCGTTGCCGCCGAGGCGTAGGTTAAGCAGCGAACGGTTGAAACGAAGATCGGCGGCGATGAGGATGCCGTCGGCCGGTCTGAGCTCCGACCCTGAGAGATCGGCCTCCGACTGGCCGGGCTGAAACCCGCAGAGCGTTTGCAGAGTCTGGTGCTGCTTGAAGACAGCCACGAGCTGCTGAGCCGCCACGAGGGGAATGCTGTTGCCGAGGAGGTTGACCGTGATCAGCGAGCGGCTGGCTGTGAGGCCCTTGGCAATCGCAAGCACGCCAGTGACGTCGGCCAACCTTAGTTTGGACACGACAACGTCCTTCACTTCGACGGTTGTCTCGACGGTGACTTCCCTTTTCTCAGTGAAGTCCTTCGCCTCGGACACAATCAGCTCGCGGCCCTGGTAGACGACCTCGGCACCAACCTCCTTCGACTCACCCGAGACTTTGGTTGCGTCGACGTAGTCGGTCACCTGGCAAATGCCACTGGAGGAGAGGTCGAGGGTGGTCAGCGTCTGGCTGAGCTTCAGAACGCCGGCGAGCAGGGTTGCAGCCGCCGGGCCAATCGGGTTGGACTTGACGACGAGGGACTGAGCACCCGCAGGCAAATCAAAGGCATCGCACTTGAGGGCTCCCA